AAGTCTTGTTACATAACTCACCCTGACCCTGAGTTATCATAGTTGTCACTACACTCAACAAATTCATTAAAAAAAATTAAAAAACATACGCCTTTCCTTGAATTCCAATTTTGTATGCAGTTCAATGAGAGCTGCAAAGTTCTTAAAAACTATCTGGCCAGAGCCATGTGTGGTGGCACAGGTCTTTAAACCCAGCACTCAGGAAGCAGAGGGTGATTCATAGGCCAGCTTAGTCTACATAGGGAACTCCAGGGGAGCCAGAGCTACATAGAAAGGCTGTCTCAAAACAAAACAAAATCCTAGGCAAGATGGCACACATTTTTAGTACTTGAGAAGCAGTATTAAGTTTGTTAGCCTGGACCTATAATGTGCACCAGGTCAGTCAGGGATATCCAGATTGACCTCTATGTCTGGTAAAGAAAAAAAAAAGGGGGGGGGGAAGAGCTGGGGTGTGTGTGTGTTCCAGTAGTGGTGATAGCTCAGATTAAACTGCTAGCCAAAGTCAGACCACTTGATTTTATCCCAACCACACATCTGCCCTCCAGTAAATTAAAGGGGAATATTGGGAAGATCCATGTTTAAAACTCAGGTTTACTCATATACAAAGGAGCTAGTTATCAGGCTCCAGTTTAACTATTAAAAAGGTAAGATTGAAGGTGTCCTGTGATCCTGCCTCCAACTAGATTTCACCTTTTTTGATGACCCATTTGAAAAATGATGGCTAAAAGCTGGGAAGCATATGGGTCTGAATTTCAGGTGGGCCAGTTAAACTGTCTCAAAAACATTACTAAACTTTTGGGATGGGATGCAAACCTTCCACCCACAGGTGTTGAGCATAAAGGCTTTATAACCTTCCCATTACTTACCCCTTCTCCAAATGTGGGGGGTCTTCTTCCTAGTCAAGGGCATTACCCCAACCAGCCAGTATCTTACCCAAGCAATGTAGCTATGTACTTCAGTGTAATTAGCTAACAAACCCCCCTCCTCCCTATGTACCTAAACACAAATAGTTCAACCAAAACTTTGGCTATTTCCTCCACAAAGTCTTTGATGAGCTTCAGGCAAATATGCTTGCTTTCCCCTAATGTAAAAAGGCTTCATGGGAACACCCCTCATATTGTTGCAAATTGCTATTTATAGCTTTGTCATTAACTTTTAAACGAAGTTCCCAACTCAGCTAAGACATAAGTGATGCAAATTTTAGTTAAATACCAATCTCTAAAGACAGTAGGGGAAGTCCCCCACCCAAGCCACCATAGAAACTTCACAAATGACACCATGTATGCTCAAAAACATTACTAAACTTTTGGGATGGGATGCAAACCTTCCACCCACAGGTGTTGAGCATAAAGGCTTTATAACCTTCCCATTACTTACCCCTTCTCCAAATGTGGGGGGTCTTCTTCCTAGTCAAGGGCATTACCCCAACCAGCCAGTATCTTACCCAAGCAATGTAGCTATGTACTTCAGTGTAATTAGCTAACAAACCCCCCTCCTCCCTATGTACCTAAACACAAATAGTTCAACCAAAACTTTGGCTATTTCCTCCACAAAGTCTTTGATGAGCTTCAGGCAAATATGCTTGCTTTCCCCTAATGTAAAAAGGCTTCATGGGAACACCCCTCATATTGTTGCAAATTGCTATTTATAGCTTTGTCATTAACTTTTAAACGAAGTTCCCAACTCAGCTAAGACATAAGTGATGCAAATTTTAGTTAAATACCAATCTCTAAAGACAGTAGGGGAAGTCCCCCACCCAAGCCACCATAGAAACTTCACAAATGACACCATGTATGCTTACCATGCAACAAAACCTTTATTAACATTTTTAACAGAGGTTCAGCTATTACTGAAACTTGGATTTTCTAAACTTAAATTGGGGCAAATGGCTATAGTGCAGATTAATGCCATCCATTGCCCACTGGGAATGCAGACTGAAGAATTAATAGCCACCCCTGAGGCGGAGGACCAGGTGCAGGGTGGACTCTTTCTGGATGTTGTAATCAGAAAGAGTGCGGCCATCTTCCAGCTGCTTGCCGGCAAAGATGAGTCGCTGCTGGTCGGGGGGGATGCCCTCCTTATCCTGGATCTTGGCCTTGACATTCTCGATGGTGTCACTGGGTTCCACCTCTAGGGTGATGGTCTTGCCGGTCAGGGTCTTCACGAAAATCTGCATGCCACCCCTGAGGCGGAGGACCAGGTGCAGGGTGGACTCTTTCTGGATGTTGTAATCAGAAAGAGTGCGGCCATCTTCCAGCTGCTTGCCGGCAAAGATGAGTCGCTGCTGGTCGGGGGGGATGCCCTCTTTATCCTGGATCTTGGCCTTGACATTTTCGATGGTGTCACTGGGCTCCACCTCTAGGGTGATGGTCTTGCCGGTCAGGGTCTTCACGAAGATTTGCATTTTGACCTTGAATTTAAAAGGTAAAAGTGCCACTTGTAATTTTAAATGTCTGGTAAAAATTTCGATTCCCACAAAATACCTCTATGAAAGCCCCTCCCCCGCGTTCCTTCACAACACAGTATCTGTTTTGTCATGGTTCCAAGCTGCTAAAGCATTTCAAAACACCAAACTAGCATCTAGAACCTTCACAAATTGAGGGACATCCGAGTCTGCCAGAAACAGCGTGATAAATTAACAATGAGGAAAAAAAGTCTCCATTATTTAAACAGAAACAAATAGCTCCTACATTGAAATTAACCTTAAGTCTGGCTAAAGCCGGGAATACCTCTTTTCTGCCTTCCCCCAATGAAGTAACCACGATGGACTCTCCATCGGTTAGGTGTCCGTTAAGCTCCCTGGCGCGCGCGCCAGGGCCGCCCCCGCTCCGCGCACGCGAACAAGGCCCACTCTTCCCGGAAGGCCCGTTGCCGCGTCACGTCAGCTCGCTCTCCCCTCCCCCACCCCACGAAAAAGCCCGCTTAGCCTAACGTAAGCTCTCCTATTTTCTAGTCCTTCCGAGGTTCAAGCGCCGCAGACCATTACCTGTTAACGGATGTGATGAGACCACAAACCGCCGAGCGCGTAGAAACACCTAGACGCAAGGAGCTCCGAAGTGGACAAAGCCTCTCGGGCCAGGGGGCGCGGCGCGGGGGGGAGCCAGTATTTATGCAGCGTCTGTTGCGTCACTTACCACGCCTACGTAGCTGTCGTCTTCCTGCGCCACCAAAAGTAGTCCCCCGGATCCCACCTCCCGAAACTCAGCCAGGCTTTTCCCCTGAGCTCCCAATTCCTCACAACCGAAGAAAAGAACACTAACAAGTGAAAGCCCCTTTCTTTTCGGCGACCCGTCTCCCTAGCATAACAATATGAAAAAAAATCACCGAGCGGATGGATCCAAGTTAAAGGGCCCTCCCTCGAAAGCTCTGGAAACTTCCTTGCTGCGCCAGCGCTGATTGGTGGGGCGACAAAGATTAGGCCGGCGCTGATTGGTAGGGAACGCCGGTCGCTCCATTGTTGCTGGGCTGGGTTCTGGGGCAGTTTAACATCGACGTTGCTAAGTAACCGAGTGCGCATGCGCCGCGGCTGGTTTCGCGAAAATACCGGCATTTCCTGCCTGAGGTGGGGGAAGGGACTTTTTTTCCCGCGTCCCGAGTCCCCTGTGGCCTTCCCGCACCCCGCGCTTGGCGAGTTTACGCCATAGGGTGAATTGCGACCCAGTGCTGCCAGCACTGCTGGACGTTAGCTTCGCTCTGGTCCTGCAGTGTGGACACTGACGCTTCTGCAGCCGGAGCGCTTTAGCGGCTTTGTCTTATTCTTAGCCTTACACACAGGCTCAGACGTGGGAGTGGGGCGTCTGCGGGGCTGGAGGCTGAGAGCCCCGCAGATCCTCTTCCTCCTCAGCAGTCTCCAAACAATGGAAGGAAAGAGAACACGTGCCTGTTAGACTCAGTACCCCACCTCTCTCATTGGGGTGCCTATTGTGCCCAGGAAGGGAAAGCAGCAGTTAAACCTAGGACCTCAGGACTGGGTTCAGACATCCTGGGTGTGGCCGCTTTTCCTTCTTGGAGATAAACAAGGAATGGAGATAAACGGGCCGGGCTGCGTGGATCGCGCTGTCATGCGGAGTCACGAGGTTGGCTATGTAAATAACCTTGAAAACAGCTTTGTTTGCGCGGCTCTCAACCTTCGTACAGTAAGACATTTAGAAATGTTAACAAATTAGGTAAAGGCTCACTAGTTATTAACGTATGAACGAAACGTTGGAAATATATCTGGTTTATCTCTCGTGCACCAAAAGCCCCAATTTGATCGCCCAGCCTAATGTCTACTGTTTAAAGAGCAGGTGGATTTTAATTCGAAGTGAATTGAAAATTAGAAAATGTCCATTTTACATAGTATTTTATTTATTAGGCCACATGAGTTGGCCCTTGTTTCACCAAACAGAATACGTCCTGAGTCAGACATTTTGATGTGCAGGTTGAACTAGAATGCAGATCTTATGACTGGTGTGATGACTTCACTGGGTTATGTTCTAGCAATCGCCAGAACTTAAGTCTTATCACTTCCTGGTTTATTGTTTTCTCAAAGTAGATCATTTGGTTACTTCAGCACAAGAATAACGTTTCAAAAGAATGGCATCTGGATTCTTCCCGAAGTAGACATGATGGCTTTTTTCATAGTATAGTTATTGTTTGGTCCATGTGTCAATGTCGTTGTCATCTTGCCCACTCCCCACCCCAGACAGGGAATCACTCTGTAGCGCTGCTTTGTCTGAAACTACTATGTAAACCAGGCTGCCTAGAAGTCACAGGGATCCTCTTGGCTCTGCTTCTGAGTGCTGGGATTAAAGACGTGGACCATCATGCCCAGCTATAAACAGGTTTTTAAGAAACTTAGTTCATATGAATGAGTGTTTTTCTTGCATATCTATTTATTCTTTTGTTTTTTTCGAGACAGGGTTTCTCTGTGTACCTTTGGAGCCTATCCTGGCACTGGCTCTGGAGACCAGGCTGGCCTCAAACTCAAAGAGATCCGCCTGCTTCTGCCTCCCGAGTGCTGGGATTAAAGGTGTGCGCCACCAACGCCTGGCTGTATATCTGTTTTTATACTACCTCTGTACCTGGTGAGCACTCACATGGGAGTTTGGAAGTTGAGCCCCAGTCTTCTGTAAAAGAAGCCTGGGCTCTTAACTGATGAGCAATCCCCCTGTAAACATATTTAAAACAATAAACAGGACAGGGCTTTCTAATCTCGAGATTAGAAATTCGTTGAGTTAGCATTGTGCTCAACAATGTTTCTTCAATGAATAAGGAGCAGTTTTCCATTTTGTTCATCTAAAAAAATGATTTTTGCTTTTGGGTTTTTTGTTTTGTTTTTGAAGGGACCAGCTCCCCATTTCAGCAGCCATAACAGCCTAGCACATTCTTGCCTGACCTTGCCTTGGTCACTAGAAGGTCAGATGCCTGCCTCGTGGCAAGGAACCAATCAGAAGTAAGCTGGTGGTGCTATGCTTTACGGCTCTGGGTGTGCTTTATGGATAAATGCACAGCAATGACGTACAGAGCATAGCAACCACCCTGGGGAGGCCTATGGGCCATAACAACCAGTTGACCGATCAATACAGGGCATGTCTGGAGGCACACCAATCCTGAACCTGTGCGTACCCCTAGACACTCCCTTTATGCTATCCTATAAGATCTCTATGCAGTGGCTTTGCAACGTCTTTCCTAGCCATCCTCCATGGATGGATGAAAGGCCCAAGCTAACATGGGATTAGCTCCTTAAACATCCACAATAAAGCCTCGTGCTGTTTGCATCAAGCTTTAAATCCAAACCTCTTGTTGGCTCTTTGAAGATGGACTTGAGGGGGGAGGCATGGGACCTCTTTATTTGTTCCTCTTTCCAGTGGCACCACTTTGGGTAATTTTCCTTTTTCTGCTTCTCACCGTTCCTTGTCTAATTGACCTGATGAAGACGGGTAGCCAAACCTAGCTTAGTAGGGCTACCAGGGCCTTGGCTCTGACAATTACCATCCAGATCTGTGGTGATATTTAAAATGCAATATTAGGAGACTGGAGAGATGGTTCAGGAGCTAAGAGCCTTACTGTTCTTGTAGAGGACTTCAGTTCCATTCCCAGCATCCATGTCAGGTGGTACCTTCTTGCCTTTGTAGACACTTGGTAGGTACTGGTGTATATAGCTATTTGCTTAATACAGTTAGGAAACAGAATTTATTTCAGGTCAGAATTTTATTTTGGTTTTTAGACACAAGGTTTCTCTGTGTAGTTTTGGCTGTCCTGGAACTCAACTTTGTAGACCATGCTGGCCTCAAACTCAGAGATCCACCTGCTTCTGCCTCCCAAGTGCTGGGATTAAAGGTGTGCCACTACCACCTGGCACAAGTCAGAAATTTTAAAGGAGGTAAATTTTAAAGGAGTCAGCATGTGCAGAGCTGGGACTGGTCATCTTTTGAGTGATGGAATTACAGGCAATCCCAGCACTTTGGAAAGCTGAAGCAGGAGGATCACACGTTAGAGCAAGCCATGGCTGTATTAGGTGACCTTAAAAGAAATCCTATTTGGTCTCAGTAGTAGAGCATTTTGCAGTAGAGCACAATGCCTTGGGTTTTATCCCAATGGCTGCAATAAAATAAAAATTATGAAATATGATTATGTACATGAAATTTGGAGATTTGTGACAAATTGTAACTACCAATTTGCCTAAACTTTAAAGGGTTGTATTTTTTAATTTAATTTAATTCTTTTTCTAAAGATTTGTTTTGTATGTGTGTGTGTGCTCGCATAGAGGTCAGAAGTGGGCTTCACTTCTCATGTAGATGGAGTTACTGGTGTCTGTGAACCACCAGATGCGGATGCTGGGATCTGATCTCTGATCCTCTGATAGAGAAGTAAGTATTATTAACCACTAAGCAGTGTCTCCAGTTCCAGAATTTATCTTATTTTGTTTTACTTATTTTTTGAGACAGGGTTTCTCTGTGTATCCTTGGCTATCTGGAACTCACTTTGTAGACAGGGCTGGCTTCAAACTCCAGAGATCCACCCGCTTCTGTCTCCGGAGTATTGGGATTAAAGGTGTGTGCAACCCATACTTGGCTGAATTTAAAAATTTTTAATTGTGGAAAACAGATGGTAGGGTAGTACATGCCTTTAGTACTAGCATTCAGAAGGCAGAGGTAGGTAGATCTCTGTTAGTTTCAAGCCAAATAGAATTACAGACTCTGTCTCAAAAAACAGAGCAGAAACAAAGAATAAAACCATTTTAACCATTTTCACTGAATCTATTATTGTATTACATATTATTACACAATAGAACTTGAGAACTTTCAAAAAATTTTGTGTGTGTGATGTACTTCTGGGGTGAGAGGACAACTTAGGAGAGTCTGTTTTCTCCTTCATGTGGGTTCCAGAGGTCAGACACAGGGCATTAGGCTTCTCAGCAAG